GGATGGCGGACGGGACGGGATGCAATGGAGGACAGGGTAAGACAGGATGAGGGATGGGAGGGGATGGAGGACGGGATGGGCAGAGGGATGGTATGAGATGGAGGATGGGATTGGGTGAGGGCTGGAGGACAGGATGATTGGGGGCCAGGTTGGGACAGGGCACGATGGGTTACAATGGACGATGAGATGGGATGGGGGACAGAATGGGATGGGATGGAGGATGGGATGTGATGGGATGGGAGGGAATGGGATGTGACAGAGGATGGGGTGGGGGGCTGCATGGGCCTGCCCAGTACTGTCCACTCCTTAATGCACTGCCCAGCCATAACCTGGAGATGAAACACATGCCTGGTGCTGACCCCGAGCTTGTGCTCCTCAGCCACCGATACGAGGAGGTCGAGGTGAGTGGGCAGCGCAGCACCTGATGCCGCAGCAGGTTCTGGGCTGGTCAGTGCCCCACAGGTGCCAGGCTGCAATCCCTATCTGCATGCAGAGAATCCCTCTGAGCGACATGACCCGGGAGGAGATCAACCAGCTGGTGCAGGAGCTGGGCTTCTACCGCAAGGAGACACCTGATGCCCCTGTGCCTGAGGAGTTCCAGTTGGCCCCTGCCAGACCTCTGCCCAGCCTGCCACTCCCCCAAGCTCCCACCGCTGACAGCAAGACCCCACCCGAACGTGATGAGGGAGAACATCCAGACCTCTAGCAACGGGTGCCATGCTCGGGAGAGGGTCCTGCAGCCAGTCCCCAGTGTGTGGGGACGAGGGCGTTGCAGCAGCTGGGGACAGTGCCATGTGGTGGCAAAGTTGCCCCCACTGTTGCATGGTGCTGTGTAGCCTCTGCCCTGAGGATGCCCTGAGCAGTTCCAGCCTTGAGCAGGGGCGTTCTGGGTACTGCGAACATCCCAGGGGTCCCATGTGCCTGTCATTGCCTTCTCTTCCCTGCAGCTCGGCACCCCTGGCCAGTCAGGAGAAGCAGCGTTCTTTGTGGTCCCTCACTGTGCCTCAAGGTTTAGCTGACACCTAGTGCTGGGCAGCGGTATCCTACCTGCGTGGGACAGGATGAAACCCTCAGCAGAAAGCCCCAGGTGCTGAGGGTAGATGTGCTGAGTCCCAGAGGTGGGAGAGCTGCCCCCAGGGGGTTATGGCTTTACACCCCAGCAGGGCTGTCTCATATCAAGACCCTAATAAAGCCCCTGTGTACAGTCGGCTGCAGTGTCATCTCTCATAGAGTCATTATGGTTGGAAGAGACCTCAAAGATCATCAAGTCCAACCATTTTACAGGGAAAGCTTGGTGGGGTGCATCCCGCACTGCTCTGTATTGGCTGTCAGGAGGACCTGGGTGCCCCAGAGCTGCTTGCAGAAGTGGGAGGGGACGGCAGGGTCACAGCCACTGCTGGTAAGCCGACAAACCGTCCCATGCACCAACTGTGCTGTTCCTGTGCCACCTGCTGCCCAGCACGACGGATGGATGGATGATAGATGGATGGGACACCATGGCTTGGGATGAGATGCTCTCACAGGGCACAGGGGGACGGGTGTGAGCCCATGAGTGGGTCTTGCAGTGTTGAACTGAAGCCCAGTGGCTGCTGGGACATCTGGCCCTCAGGTGAGGAAAAGAGCAGGGTGCAGCTGCGCTACCTGCAGACCTGCCTCTGTGCAGCCTCAGTGGCAGCGTGGGGGTCTTCTCCCCGTGCCAAGCCTGGGCGCAGCAGGGGAGCAGCAAACCAACAGCCCTTGGTCAGGGTGAGACGCAGATGGTGCCCCTCGGCTCTGGGCATTGTCTCTGAGCAGGAGGAGCAGCACGTGCCCCACATCCCTCTGGGCCAGGCGAGCAGTGCGCCTGCAGGCAGAGGGGTCCGAGAGTGGGTGGGGCTGCCAGCACTTCCCTGGGTGCTGTGGCGTGTGCTGCATTGGTGGCACGAAGCAGTGGTGTAGTTGGGGAGAAGGACCCGAGGTAGAGGCATCACCCTATAGAATAAACCTTTATTGTCTGGCTGGTGTTCGTACGTGTGTCAACATGGATATAGAGACGGTGATGGAGGGGTGAGCGGCGCTGAGCATGTGGTGCCCTGAGCTGGGAAGGAGGGGCTGCTGTCCTGGCTCACTCCTTGGGCCCCTTGCTCCACCGGGACCCATCACCTCCCCACACACTCCCCAGCACATGGGTGCTGCAGCCCCTTGGTGTAGAAGTGCCCCAGGGCGCACGTGCATGGTGGGAAGCAGGGTGTCTGTCAGCACAGGGCCATTGAGCTATCCCCAGGAGGTGGCACCAAGCAGGGTCTGCGGTGGGCAGAGGGGCTTCCTCGCAGGGGGGCAAGAAGAACTGCTTGTGGATGCACTGCCTGTGGGATGCACCGTGACCCAGGCTGGGCTGCACAACCCTGCTTGGTCGCCAACCCACACCAGCCCTGGGCCCGAGGGCACAGCTGTGCCTGGGCCTCCCCAAGGATGCAGATGTGCTGCCCGCAAGACAAACAACTCCTGGAGAACAAATAACTTAACACACTGGAGCGTGGGAGGCAAGCGAGGCTGGGGACCATCCC